AGAGTGAGACCCTGTTTCACAAAAAAAAAAAAAAAAAAAGAGAGAGAGAGAGATAGAGAGATAGTAGTTCAGATCTATTATTAAGGCAACATCACTCTGAAATCTCTGCTGGATACCTCAGAGGTCTCAGGAATCTCCACGTTGTATGGCCAGAGTTCAGACATCACCCTGTCTTGTGTGAGCTCTGGGAATTTTTCTGCTTATGACACCCTCGGCTTTCTTTGTGTTGAGGAGTTTCACTCTGCACATGGATGGCCTAGCACTTAACAAAGACTCAATACAACCCCCATATATATTTCTGGAACTCTTTTTATCTTTAGCATCCCCTTTTCTAGAACTCTGTCTCATAGTTTCCAGTCATCTCAGCTTCCCTGAATTTTGATCTCCATCTTCAACTCAGTGATGCCATGAGGGATATGGGGGCTCCCCTACCAGTCTGGAATTGGCCTTTGGACTCAAAGCTACAACTTTTAGGGCTTTTTCTCTTCTCTCAAGGATCACCACCTTATGCTGCCTGCTGCCCAACATCTGAAAACAGTTGTGTCATTTATTTTGTCCAGTTTTCTAGTTTTTTATGGAAGAGAGGGCAGTGATATCTGGTCACTGCTTCTCTTTTCTTTTTTGAAGCAGAGTTTTGCTCTTATTGCTCAGGCTGGAGTGCAATGGCGCGATCTCAGCTCACCGCAACCTTTGCCTCCCAGGTTCAAGCAATTCTCCTGCCTCAGCCTCCCAAGTAGCTGGGATTACAGGAATGCACCACCATGCCCGGCTAATTTTTTGTATTTTCAGTAGAGACAGAGTTTCTCCATGTTGGTCAGGCTGGTCTCAAACTCCCAACCTCAGGGGATCTGCCCACCTCAATCTCCCAAAGTGTTGGAATTACAGGCATGAGCCACAGGGCGTGGCTGCTCATTGCTTTTCTTATCATGGCCGAAAGTGGAAGTTTGTAGTAGTTTTTCACGAATGGCATTTTGAGTCTAAGCCATGTGTTTAGAGGTCCAGATGATAAAATATGCCACAATACTGAGGTGAGGGGAATGCTCTCCATTTCTGTGAGGAACAATCATGGCCCTACCTAGTGAGGACTGAAGGGATGGCAGTACCATTTTGTCACCTCAGTGGTTTTCTGCTTTGGGGATGGAGCAAGTAATACTACCCTGCTCAGGGCAGCATTCTTCCAAAAGGGGCATGTGTGGCAGAGCAGAGAAGTGAGAGTTCGACTCTCCGAAGGTGATGCCTGGGCAGCTAGGGCACGAGATGCTGGATGAGGCCTCTCAGAAATTCTTGCCTGTGGAATAGGGAGGGATGACCTGGAAATAACTGGCTTATTTTTACAGAATACCAGTTCTCCAAACCTTCATTTCCAGTGCTATAATATATTATCTTTTAGGTCTAGAAAAGCTATGGTTCTCAATTCATAAACATTTTTTCAAAAACCTTGATTGAGGCCGGGCTCAGTGGCTTATGCCTGTAATCCCAACACTTTGGGAGGCCGAGGAGGGCAGATCACTTGAGGTCAGGTATGTAAGACCAGCCTGGCCAACATGGTGAAACCCCATCTCTACTGAAAATTAAAAAAATTAGCCAGGCATGGTGGTGCTTGCCTATAATTCCAGCTACTTGGTAGGCTGAGGCACAAGAATTGTTTGAACCTGGGAGGTGGAGAGTGCAGTGAGCCGAGATGGTGCCACTGCACTCCAGCTTGGGCGGCAGAGTAAGACACTGTCTAAAAAAAAGTCAAACAAATATTGGTGGAGCTCCGTGGCATACAATGAAAAAAAAAAAAGTCCTTGTCATTGAAGTCTTCCAAGACACCTGAGGGAAAGGCAGCTGCATTAAATTAATGATTATGACTATGTTGAAGGTGTAATGACAGCACACACAAAGAAGCAGCTTTCACTGCTATTTGGACAGCAGCTGAACGTGGACAATTCAAAACAGATCTTTCATTGTACCATTTCTTACTGCAAAAGAGGGTCCCCCAGCCAACAGAAATATAGTCAATTTCATTTGCTCAATGAGGTATAGATAACGGTCTACTATTTTTAGTCTTGTACGGTACTTTATTCTTTCTCAAGTGTGAAACACTAACCACTGGAGAGGTTTTGTTTTTTTCTTTTTTCTTTTTTTAATATGGAGTCTCTGTCGCCCAAGCTGGAGTGCAGTGGCATGGTCTCGGCTCACTACAACCTCCACCTCTCGGGTTCAAGAGAGTCTCCTGCCTCCCAAGTAGCTGGCATTACAGGCGCACAACACCACACCCAGCTAATTTTTGTGTTTTTGTAGAGATGGGGTTCCACTATGTTATATTTTTAGTAGAGAAGGAGTTTCACCATGTTGGCCAGGCTGGTCTTGAACTCCTGACCTCAAATGATGCACTGGCCTCGGCTTCCCAAAGTGCTGGGATTACAGGTATGAACCACTGCACCCAGCCCCAGTGGAGAGTTTTCTAGTATGCTCAGCATAACAATGATGATATAAATATGTTTCAATTCTCTGTTTAGTTATTGGACTAGTCTGCTTCTTAATCATAAGTATTTCATAATTTCAAACATGAAGTTTTTAATGAGCAAATAAAGAACGCAGTCAACCTCAAAGGAAATGCAATAGAAAATGAAAACTGAAAACAAATCTATTTGGAATTGTAACACATTTTAAAGAAAACCCAAGGAAGTGCAGAATTGAGCCCATTAGCAAACTGGATCAATTCAAATAACTTGATATTAGCCACTTGAACAAATCAAGGAAGTTCTCATTTGGGTATTATCTAGGTTCAGTGGTGCATTTTATACATCCCATGACACATCTGCATACCATTAAAAATGCAACAGCAAACCATTTTGCATCTGGTTATTCTATCCAAAATTGCAAGCCCCTTCTCCCCAACCCCCAAACAACACACATGAGTGTGAATGCGTGTGTGTGTGTGCGTGTGTGTGTGTGCGCGTGTGTGTGTGTGTGTGTAGGAGAGCTGGAAATGGGAGTGGTTACTTTTATTTACCCAACAAGTATTAAACCCACTATCTGCTAAATATGTTCACTTCAGTGAGAATTCCAAAGTATAATATTAATTTCCTCCCGAAATAATGGCTTCCAGCAAGTGAAATAGCAAAACTTTGCAGCAAAGATAATATATTACTTATAATGGAAGTGGACACACATTGATGGAAGCTGAAAATGTCCCTCAGGCAGTAAAATACAAGCCATGCCTCTTCTCACCTCCTCTAGATGCAACTCAATTTTGTGGCATGCACAGGTATGCTGTGCAGGCACAAAAACCTGTGCTGAATAAACCTATGCCTGTTTGGAAGGTCAGCAGTTTTCCAGCAAACGAGGCAGTGTGCTGCCAAGGATTACCTCACTAGCAGAGAAAAAACTCAGTGCCCAACTAACAAAAAAAAAATTTAGTGGAATATGAATAATTGTGTTTCCATAGGCAAAGACTCAGGAAAGTCTGTAGGGAGGTGAGTTTTCTTCCATCATGCCTCTGGAGGACATATATTTGAACATGCTCAAAATAGAAAAGACAAATCAGAATTCATATGCTTTAAATAGATGAAGCTCTTGTTACATGAAGGAAAACAGTGTTGCAGCCGTGCCTCACATATTTCTCCATTTCTTTCAGAATGTCAAGATGGAATCTGTGTAAGTTCTTCAGTCACTGAATCTTTCCTGCCCTCTTCCCTTATCTTGTATTCAGCAAAGATAAGTATTCTTTTAAAAATAAAAAAGTATATATTATGCTAAGCAAAAGAACCCAGCCTCAAATATGCACGTACTGTATGAATTGACTCATGTGACATTTTAGAAAAGGCAAAAATGTAGGAACAGAGGACACATAAGAGGTAGCCAGGGGTTGGGGTGGGGGAGAAAGGGTCTAAATACACCAGGGCAGGTTGAAAGTTCTCTTCAGGAAGCTAAAATTGTTCTGTATCTTGTCTATGATGGTGGTTACAAGAATCTATTTATGTATAAAAACTCAGAATTGTACACTCCCCAAAATTGCATTTTAATTGTGTAGAGAATGTAAAAATTGATTTGATTTAAAACTTAACTAGAGTGCCTATTTTGTACCAATACAACAATAAGATTTTCCTTGCTATAATGACGCTGATATTCAGCATGTCACCCACAGTGCTAATCCGCATCATTACAGCATTATTACTTCAGCATCGTTAGAGCATTGTTACTGCACTATTATTTCCAGCATTATTACAACATTATTACTTTAGTGTCACCTAAGCTTCCTAAGCTTCTTAACCAAGTAATATAACTCAAACTACAGTAATTAATGCTTGAGGTGAAGAATCCACTTTTCCAATCCTCTTGATTGTCATTACATTTCTCTAGCTTTTGGGCCACTATTTTAAAATACTTAATTAGCAAGGCATATAAAACACAAGATATGTTTGTTCTCCTATGCCAAAAAGCTGTGCCTCACACCATAAATTCCCTTAATTTTTCCTTCACTCTTTCTTCTTTAAAAGAATAACCAGAAATTATAAGAAAATTTTACTATTTGCTCACTTTTGAGAAGCAGTTTGTCTTGTAACTGGGTATCGATGATGGAGTCTAAAGAAGACTTTCATAGACTGTACCTTCCCCCATTCTCTTTGGTTTCCTTCCCTTTTGCTATTTTCAAGCTGTTACTGGTATTTTATTTTTGAACACACACTATTGCCATATACAGTGTTGTCTTCAAACTCAGAGGCAACATTAGAGAGTAAGGACTTACCACTTTAGCTTATTGTAGATCCAGATGTCCAGAACATTCTAACACCTCCATCTGAAAACTCTTCCTGGAGTGAACATTTTCTATTTTGCTGGAAACGGGAGTTTCCAACACCATCTCTTCCTTAAGTCCTGTAAATCCTGTACTAACCACAGATGCCTAACATAAACCTTAGGGGGATGTATTAGTCCATTCTTCCATAGTTCTTGCTATAAAGAACTACCTGAGGCTGGATAATTTAAAAAGAAAAGAGGTTTAATTGACTCACAGTTCTGCAGGCTGTACAGTAAGCATGGTTGTGGAGGCCTCAGAAAACCTGAAATCATGGCGGAAGGCAATGGGGAAGCAGGCACGTCCTCATGGCTGGAGCAGGGGGAAGAAAGTGAAGGGGGAGGTGCTACATACTTTTAAATAAGCAGATCTCATGAGAACTCACTCAGTAGCGTGAGAACAGCAGAGGGGAAATTTGCCCCCAGGATGCAATCACCTCCCATCAGGCCCCTCCTCCAACACTGGGGATTACAATTCTGCATGAGATTTGGGTCGGGACACAAATCCAAATCCTATCTGGGGAGAAAAAATCTTCTCATGGTGTGTCTTAGGATCTCTCATTAAGGATCCCTGGACATTTGTCACAACTGGCTCTTAGTGCTTAATATTGCATCTCTATCCTTAAAACAGTGTGTTGCTACCTCTTCCTAGTTGTCCTTCATCCTCTGCTATCTTGTCTTTGTCCATCATGGTGACTCTGTTTGTCCTCTGTATCAGAGACTGAACTTTTCTTGAAGGCTTCCCTGTTCTAACCTCTGTTTTCAGTTCCCTAAGCCCTGACATTGGCTGAGTCCCATGATCTGAGACTCCTCTGTGAAGACTTTGCTTACATTTCCCAGCATGTGCTAATGAAAAGTGAATCTGATTTTTCTTCCAGATCCTCAGTTATATTCTCTAGAGGAAGCATCTTCAATGATTTCTTGGGTATCCTTCCAGAACTTTCCCTGTATATACATACTCTATACACATATACTTTTCTGAAACACCCTTATGAATAGAAGCATATTATTCCTATGGTCTTGTGCTTTGCATTTTGCTTTATATGCTTATTATCTTTGTATTTCAAAATAACTATATTTACATCATTCTTTTTAACAGCAGCATAATTGCTATGTACCATAGTTTATTAATCAAACCTTTATTGCTTGAGTATAAGTTGTTTTCTTCTTTTGTCATTATTGCCATCATAAACTATGGTGCAGCAAAAATCCTTGTGCTTATGTTTCTGCAAACACATGCAAATATAACTGTTGAAAATTTTTTTGAAATGGAATTAATTGCTGAGTCAACACCTTCATTATAGATTTCATCAAATTCTTCTCCCAAAATATGGTATAAATTCCTATTTCTACCTGTGTTAGTCAGTGTTCCCCAGAGGGACAGAACTAATGGGATATATAAATGTGTAAAGGGGAGTGTAGGCCAGGTGCAGTGGCTTACGCCTGTAATCCTAACACTCTGGGAGGCCAAGGCAGGCAGATCACCTGAAGTCAGGAGTTCCAGACCAGCCTGGCCAACATTTTGAAACCCCATCTCTACTAAAAACACAAAAACATTAGCCAGGCATGGTGGCAGGTGCCTGTAATCCCAGCTACTTCGGAGGCTGAGGCAGGAGAATTGCTTGAACCCGGGAAGTGGAGGTTGCAGTGAGCCGAGATTGTGCTATTGCACTCCAGTCTGGGCAACAAGAGCGAGACTCCATCTCAAAAAAAAGGCGAGGAGTTTATTAAGTATTAACTTACACGATAACTGTCTGCAAAGTTGAGCAAAGAGAGCCAGTCCAAGTTCCAAAACTGAAATACTTGGAGTCTGATGTTCGAGGTCAGGAACCATCCAGCATGGGAGAAAGATATAGGCTGGGAGGCTAGGTCAGTCTTGCCTTTCACATTTTTCTACCTGCCTTGTATTTGCTGGTAGCTGATTAGATTGTGCCCACCAGATTAAGAGTGGGTCAGCCTTTCCCAGCCCACTGACTCAAATGTTAATCTCCTTTGGCAACACCATCACAGACACACACAGGAACAATACTTTGCACCCTTCAGTCCAATCAAATTGACACTCAGTATCAACCACCACACTACCAAAATGATGTGACAGCTCCTGCTTCACACACCTGCACCAAGCTCATGTATTATCAAACTTTTAAACCTTTACTTCTCTGAGAGGTTTTTAAAAAGCTACCTCATTATTGATCTAACTTGTTTTATTTAATCATTAGTGAAGTCTATATATCCTTTTTTATTTTTATTGTTTTTGAGATGGAGTCTCACTCTATTGCCCAGGCTGGAGTGCAATGGCGCCATCTTGGCTCACTGCAACCTCCACCTCCCAGGTTCAAGCGATTCTCCTGCCTCAGCCTCCCGAGTAGCTGGGATTACAGGCGCCCACCACTACCCCTGGCTAATTTTTGTATTTTTAGTAGAGAAGGGGTTTCCCCATGTTAATCAGGTTGGTCTCGAACTCCTGACTCCACCCCCCTCAGCCTCCCAAAGTGCTGGGATTACAGGCATGAGCCACCACGCCTGGTCTTAGGTCTACATCTTTATATGTGGTTTGGGTCCATCTTTTCTCTCTTTCTGGGAAGTATGATTTTTGCCTATTCTGTGATTGATGGGGATCATCTCTCATGGCACTCCCGGTCCTCAGAAATCTCGGCAGGCAGTGTGGCACAGGCTCTCTTCGGCCTTCTCAAGCCCCAACAAGCCCCACCTTTCTGCTCTTACAGCCGACCTCCAGGACAGCAGCAAGGGTCACTTCTATCCTAGGCCGGCCACCTCTCTGGCACTTCTGTTGTAGGACTCTTTCCTTAGTTCAACTAAAGATGGGGGTCCTCATCACACGACCACAAAAAATTAGACTTGCAGAAATTTGAAGGGTGAGAAGGGCAGAGTTTATTGGATGAAAAGGAAAAGAGGGAAACGGGGACTCTCTGCAAGGCCAGAGTCCCTGGTAGTGCGCATCCCACCTCGCAGATGGAATCCCAGGTACCACACCCCGGAACAGGAGAGAGAGGCCAGGCTCCTCCCCGCTGCAAAGGGCGTGAACTTCCCAGGGCTCCACACCAGAGCGCATTCCCCATGGTGCGCAGGCCATCAGAGGATCTACCAGGGAGCCCTTCCCACCTGGCTGTCTGACTTCCACCAGAAACGAGGCAAAAGATCTCTCCACTCTCAGGTTTCCCAAACTTTAAGGAGGGTGGAGAGTCCTAGTTTCGCCTCCAGCCGACTCCCCAGAGCAAGTCAGAGGAGGCATGGGAGACACAGCCCTCCCCGCATGCCTGAGTCACCTCGCCAAGCTCCATCTCCTCCCCTCCCTCCTAGGTTTGAGGTTCTTATCCAGCGTGGGCAGAGGCCATGGGAGGCTAATTCAGTCAGTTGTCTTGCTGTGACCAGTGTGTTGAACAAACAGGACTCGTGACATTATCCAAATACAGCTTTGTTTTTGTCTTCCTCACCTAACTTTATTCTGTGAGGATAATCTTCACCCGGATAAAAATTCTCGCAGTTCCTTGGATTTTTGGCTTTCTCTGTTGTAATATATATGTGCATGTGTGTGTGTGTGTGTGTGTGTGTGTGTGTATATATATATATATATATATCAATGCCATCTGCTTTTTCGGTCATCAAAATGTCCAGTCCTGTTGACAGTCAAAACCCAACGCTGAATCCCCTCCCTGTAAGGCAGGGAGGAGACCTGAGGGGTACCTGGAGACAGGTCTGTGCCTTTGTCCAAAGACGATTTTGAGGGCTTTGGTATTTAAAGGAGAAAAGCCAGGTGCAGGGGAAAGAGGGAAGGTATGGTCATGTGACTCAATCCACGTGTTGCAAGGGAAAGGGGGCAGGTAAGATAAAAGTCAATTATGTACTTGTTGGGCAGCGGCAGTGGCTCACACCTGTAATCCCAGCACTTTGGGAGGCCGAGGCAAGCGGATCACCTTAGGTCAGGAGTTCAAGGCTAGCCTGGCCAACATGGTGAAACCCCGTCTCTACTAAAAATACAAAAATTAGCCTGGCCTGGTGGCGTGCACCTGTAATCGCAGCTACTGGGGAGGCTGAGGCAGGAGAATCACTTGACCCCAGAAGGCGGAGGTTGCAGTGAGCCAAGATCCTGTTACTGCACTCTAGCCTGGGCAACAGAGCGAGACTCCATCTCAAAAAAAAAAGTATCTGTCTCATGCTCAGTAAATCGGCACTTTACATAAGATAAGTTGAACCTAGAGTAGCTACCTGTGGAAATATTTAACCTTTTATCTGTAACTATAAAGACAACTTTTTGCGTGACTCAGCTTTCAGCTTAATTGTTTTTCCTTTTGGCAGAGTGAATTGGGGATCCAAGTTTTCATTTTCGTTTCACACACTTGACCCCAGAGGATATGCCTCTGCTCCTAGGGGCCTGTGCAGTACCTCCTCAGGCCTCCCACTCTTCTGGGTGAGACCTTCTCAGGCCTCTGCCGTGCCCCTGCAAGCCAGCCTCCCCTCTCCCCCATGAGGGAGAGTTGTCCACTCTGGGCTGTGGGCAGGGCCCCATGCAGTAGCACCCACACAGGCCCGAGGCCACATTTTCACTCCCTCTAGATCCCCAGGTGGGAGTGCAGCCACCACCATTCCCCCTGACTGTCTCCCAGCCCTCAAGCATCAGTCCTCTGCATCCTCAACCAGAGGAAATACAGTCCCAGGTTCTCCGTGTGGTCCTTAAAGCCTCCGTCCATGAAGCTTCAGGTGAGGAGGAAGTGTCGGGGATAAGCAAGGCTTGGCATTGATGAAAGTGGGAAAAGCAGGTGATGGGCTTTGGGGCATGCTATGCCAAAAGGTAATGCTTTGACATTTGAGAAAACTGCAGTAAAGGGGACTTTGTGACCTTCTGCCATGCTTCTTCCCTGAAGTGGGCATGAAAGAATTCTTCTGAACTTCCTCTGAAGTAGGTCATGAGATCCTCGTTGGAGACATATCCTCCCCATCCTAGAAGAAATGTCCTTGTCTGAGGTAGATTGGATTATCGTTCCCAATTCTTTATCCCTCTGTGTATCCTTTTCCATGTGACTGCCTTTTCCATGTAATTTACAGTTAATCTCACCAAAGGCAGAGCACAGTTAACCCTTGAACAACACAGGCTTGAACTGTGAAGTTCCACTTATACACAAATTTTTTTCATCCAAATGCAGATAAAAAATACAGTCTTCTTGGGACATATGGGGACACAGGAAGAATCTGAACAAGCAGGCCTTGCTAAGTTTCCTCCAGCTAATCACCATTCCAT